TGGGATATGTTCCAGAGTCATATGTTAATGACTCTGGAACTAAAAAAAATGTAGGATACAGGTGCTCCTAAGGGTAACATACCATGGAAATTCTGAGAGTCAAGAGTGAGCCTTTGAGATACAGAGGATGGTACAAATATCAATGAAGGACAGATGGCAGAAACTATTATTGAAGGATATCAGTGTGCCACACAATGTCGGACTGGACACAAATAATTTAGCTGTCTGAGACACAACAATAACTAAATGAATGATTTCTCTTACACAATCAACTACATCTACATTAAACCACAATAAGAGAAGGTCTCATAAGTATTTCCTTCCACCAAAAACTGAAAATAAAAGGGCTGAATTAGAATATCTCATCGAGTCCTAGTACCAATTTCTAATCAAAGACTTAATGTTTTCATTCTTCAAAAAAGCCATGTTTTTATTAATTCACAAATTTAAATGACTTAAAATTGCAAACTACAGAATAAAGTCTGTGTTTAACCACCCTTGTATCCAAAGAACTCAGCACACAGCAGGTATTCACATATTTGTTAAAGAATGCCAGAAAAGAAAAATGGCATACTCCTATTACATCCTAGGTAACTACCATGTTACAAGATCTAGTCTAGGAAAAGAAAAACTCTCCAGGAAAATCTAGGTACTAACAATATTATTTATCTTTCTAAAGCACAAAAATTTCAAAGGACTATAAGCATATCTAAATTTGACTAGATGGGGTCAATTTTAAGGTACAAAATAAATTCTTACTTTTTAGTAAGAATTTGCCACTGAAACAAATTCTAAGAAAAACTAATAGCCAATTTCTCAACTGTTTCAAGTTGCTTGCAACAGAACAAAATTCTAATACAATTATGAAGAAACCTAACATGAATGGAAGTGTACAATAGTATTTTACAATTCTGAAACATGAGAACTATGTTAGTGGATCCATCTCTCACTCTAATCCCCCTCATTTTCTCTAACTTCTCGCTTTTTTCTCTTCACTGATTATCTACTGTGTGCCAGGATCTATGCTAAGTGCAGGTGAAACATTTCAGGATCTGACCTCATGATGATTAGTCTATAGGTCTTCAGAATATAAACATTGACTAAAAGTATTAACAGTACCCACTTCAAGGTCTTGAAATTCATATTGCATTTCTTATTTAGAAACGTAAGGGGGTCGCTGTTAGTTAACGATTTCCTTCTGAAGAACTGAAGTAAATTCCAAAGGCAGGGGCTATCTGATGTCTCAGTGCCTAATACAGTATGAAACAAATTAGGTGCTAAATAGGCATTTGTTGAATAAATGAATGAAAGTAACTGTAACCATCAGGGGCACTGATATAATGCCAAAAACTATTTCACATTATCTCCCTTTTTCCTTCTCTGTGATAGGTAAATTCAATTCATTCCATTAATTCAATTCCATTCTCCTGTTAGAACAAAAGCAGGATGGCCTTACAGTCAGTGTTCCTACCTCCCCTTCAATATTCATAAGAGGATGTCAATCCTTCACCCCATTTGGTTGACTGTTAAAGCATATGGTTCTATACTTTTCAGAATAGCTGAACTCCAAGAACTAATCAAGGTTATTAATCAAACTCAAATCCATTTTCAAATGCACAACTAAGAAAAACAGTATATATGTAGGACTGAATCCATTCACACATGCTGACAAACACCAACTCTTGAATTTAGCCAAATCATCAGAGAACTGAATACATCATATTGGTACCCCGTACTTACTGAACTAGCCATTGGCATGAAACCTAGCAAACTAGGATTACAGGGTCCTTGTTTTTCTTTTACCAAAAGGATACAATATGCTGTATAATCACATTCACTATATTACACAGGGGAAAGAACCCACAGAAAACTATACATCTTGGTAGAGTCTCCAGAAACTAGGTTTTTGGGGGATTTTGCTTTTTATTTTAACATGGATCTTGCAATTCTTATAACTGATCATGTTTACCTCTTTACTTTGGTTGCTAGAAAACTTATAGCCAAATTGTAGCTCACTAAAGCATACAGTTTATTTAATAATCATACTTCCAGTTCCATCTACCTTTCCTAACTTTCCTTTTGCTTCCTTCTAACTTATAAATAACTATATTGCTTTTATATTTGTGAGCAGCCTTAATTTCTTTGTGGAAACTGCCAGCATAAATAAGCATTCAACTGTGTCC